TTGCCGCTGGCCTTTTTCACAACGTCCTCAACCTCAGACCAAAGGGGAGGTACCATTTTAAATGGTACCTTCGGCACCGAAGGCTGTTTGAGTCCGCTAAGGATCTCTGAATTGTCATCGAGAGGCTCTCTCCTCTTTTTATCCGAGTACATCTTGCGTAGATGTAGCTCTAGTTCTTCCTGACTGACAACCAGAGTCCCAGACTTCGGTTGCTCGAATAGACCTCGGGCAAACTGATACGGGTCCCTAAAGAATTTCTCTCGCTCCCTTTTGGTTCTACGTCTGTTGTTACAGAAACGCTCGGCACGACAGAGGGCGCTGTGTTTGTTCTTTAAATGCAACCAAACTTCGTACAGCCCCTCCCGTTCGCTGCCTGTAGCGGCTTTGAACCGTTTTCTGAGGGCATTCTTGTCTGCCCGACACTTCAGAATGTCCCTCTGCCTCCTGCTAGTATTCTGCTTGGCACCCGGCTGTGCCTTTACTACTGTCCCGAACTCGCGGGAGCAGTGTTCATATATTACATCACCAAATTTAGTAAGCTTGTCGCCTAGCGACTTCTTGTTTAGAGTTTGTTTAAGTATCTCACATAATGTAGCCTCTAACTTACACCACACCACCTTCTCGCTCGCAGGTGGAAACCTGATTCTGGAACGCACTTCTTCAGAAATCATCAAAGGTGCTCCTCCGCAGTCGACGTCATGGGCCTCTCCGGGCGAGTGGGGTTCACCCTGCCCGTCGTACCCTGACGACTCAGAAACTACCACGTTTACTGCGTGGAGCACCCTCGCATTTCATTCTTCCGGCATGCGTTCTCAGACCATGCAACCCCGTGAAGCTTTTCCCACATGTACAGAGCCAGCCCGGACGTTGGGCGAGTAACTCAGTCCGGGGGCTAGCAAAGTCGTCACTGAGGGTATCTATCAGATTGGGCCCTTCATTCTCCCCCCCCCCCCCCCCCCCCCTTTCGGAGGGCCCTGGGGGCATATTTCATTGTGGTCGTAAGAAATCGGAGGTATTATACTGTGTTAGGGGTGATCAACCCGGTCCACAGTCGACATCTGTCTCCAGATGTCAGTTTATCCACCCGGCGATACCGGGGGGCCAGTCTTTCCATAGGTGTCAAAAGGACTTTCCCGATAGTCACCAGTCTTTCCTGGTAGTCTTGTGGGCTAGCCACGTACAATAGGAATAAACTCACAGGGAGCAAGTACAGCGGGGATCTACAGTCATCAGTAGAAATTATCCTCGTCGACACACGTTTCGGCCCACGATTCCTAAACGTATTCGGAGGTGGGCCCACCTGAGTTCATGAAGCTCAGGGCTGCTTCCCCGCTGCACAGAATTACCGGATGGTGTTATTATTTCGGCCAGAGACAAGACGACTTAGTGGTTTCGAAGGAGGTACTGTGAGATAAGAAGCCGCCGCGACAGCGTAATTAAAACAGTCCGCATGCATGGACGACCGAGCGACAAGCTTACTTTGGTTTACCGGACACATGTTGGACTTTTATTAGCAGTTGGCAGAGGGACACTGGTAGACAATTCGTACACGATGGACTTTCAAAGGGATGAGAAACTCCTTTCCGCTAGACACCCGGACCAGCTCACCGAGGCCCGTCCCCTACGTTGTTGCGCTGCGTCCAAAGCCAGCTAGAGGCCCTTTCGGCTGCCTCTCCCAGTAACGACATAAACTAACAACCTGTGAAATAAGATGCTTAAGATAGGCTGGGGAAAAAAATTTCGTTTAAAAAAAACTAATGAGAATGAATTCAATGATGCCGACAACATAGGCTTAGAAGACGCCAAATCAACACATACACGAAGCAATCGAGCACACTCTAGCTCGACTATCTTCTGGCGGCAATCAGATTTGTAATCCGTCATTTTGGGAAAAATAAGTTTAAAAAATCACCAGTTGCAGACTGCGGGGTAAGGATACTCTGCTCTTGGGGTAACCTTTTAGAGTCTAAATTGTTACCTCAGCACTAATTATAGAAATAATAATGTTTAATCGTTTTCATCAGTGTTGCCACTTTGGATCTTTTATATCCAAATTTAGATCTTTTTCATTGCATTTAGATACTGTTTTTGACGTTTAGATCGTAAATATTTTTCTAGATTCTTTTCATATGGGATAGATATTTTATAGATTTTTTTTTTCTTTCATTGTCAATTTAATAATTACTGTGTAAAATATTTACTACAATATTTTTGTTTTGGTCTGGCACGTACATTGTGACAACTGCCATTACTTGAACTTTGAACTCACAACTATCTGGCAGCCCCGGTACTGATTAATAAAAAAGCGCGTAAATCATACTAACTTTGTTTCAACCGTATCCTCACTGTGCTGACTTTGTGTTTCTTTTTCATGTGATTTAAAAAAATAATTGCTCACCTTCTTATGTGGCTTTCACTTTGAAAAAACCTTTCAACATGCCAAAAGTAAAGTATGAGCAAAAAAATTGGAAAGAGTGGTTGCATGATGACAAAATTAAAAATTGGGGAATATGACCAAAGCTTGTTGTAAGTACTGCAAGTGTGAAATTAAAGAGAAAATACAAAACTCAAAGAGTCATGCAGAGACTAAAAAAGCATAAAACTGCAGTTTCATTTAAAGATATTACACCGCTGACATCTGTTTTCAGAACTATACTGATAAAGGAATCATCAAAAGTTGAAGTATCAGTCGCAATGTTTTTCATTTGTCACTGCGCAATTTCAAACTGTGTCCATTTGATCTATTTGTAAAAAAATCTTGGACTAGTTCAATTTGAAAAGTGTGGTGTAGAAAGTATAGTTTAGGAACTGAAGGACCTTTTAATCAGCAAACAGTTAGGCTTGAAGAATTTGGCTGTAATTGGTACTGATAATGCCTCAGTGATGGTTCGTATAAACAATGGCGTTTATGCCAAGTTGAAGGAAGCTAAGCCATCGTTAATACTTATAAAATGTATGCGTCATTCATTGCAGCTAGCATTATCACATGCTTCATCTAAATATTTACCAAGGAATTTGGAATACCTATTTCTTGAAACACTTAACTGGTTTTCCAAATCATTTGTCAGACAACAGCAATACAATACATTATATACAGCCTTGAATGATGGTTCCACACCACCGAAAATTCTGCCAGATTGTAAAACTAGATGGTTATCAATTTAACCAGCTGTTGAAAGAATTATGAAGCAATGGATGAAGTTGAAGACACACTTTGAAATAACAAGACAAAGTGAAAAGCGCTACACAGCTGAAATACTATATGGAATGTACAGTGATGAAATTTTTTTTAAAATTCATTCTCTTTTTATAACCTTTTCTAATAGAAGTGCAAAAAGTTAATACTGTTCCACTTATAAAGAAATTTGAACAGCTAAAGCATATCAAGGTCATTTTGGATTTGAAGCTTCAACTTCATTATCCAAGCTAAGTTTATCCTGTGGATCTTGTGAGGCAGACATCAGTGAAGGTGAGGACATGATTATGTAGGGTAAGTCATAACAAAAGCTATGTAATTTTTGACTTTTTCAATTTGGATGTTTTTTCTAGATCTTTTCCACGCAGATTTAGATCTTTTTAGATAATTTCTGTCACCGTTTTGGATATTTTTTGTCAAAGAAAAGTGGCAACACTGGTTTTCATAAACACAGAAAATATACACCTCTTTGTTTGGGTAGGGGGGAGCTTGTGAAATGGATAGCAGCTGTCCTGCATTCCCGTATGGTTGCTCTTCGTCTGGGTGCCTCAGAACTGTGTAATATAACCAGTGCTTTTTAATGTGTATGCAAGCAAGATTGCAGAACTTGAAGCACCAGGTGTTGGAAGGATTTTGACATATGCTGATGATGTTCTTGCATAAAGGCAAGGGAATGAATGATAGGCAACGGATAGCACAAGAGCTGCAGGTAGCTGTAGACAAAGTGACTGGTGTGCAAACATGGGGGCTGTCATTAACTCAGAAAAGGCGGTTTGTGTGTGTGTTGTATATGTGTGTGCTGTATGTGTGGTGTGTGTGTGTGTGTGTATGGGTGCGGTGTGTGTATGTGGTGTGTGGGGCTCTCTGGACAATATAATTGTAAGAGCTGATGTCCCAAACCTCACAGTTAATAACAGTAAGGAGTTGCTAGCCACACACCGTGTACCTAGCTATATGAGTAATTCATTAAATAACATTTATACGCCTCTTCAACAAGACCAGGTGAATTCTGGCTGGGTAGACATTTAACTAACCACGGAATAAAATCTAAAACTGACGTGACGTGGTTCCGTGCTCCTAAAGGTGGCTCTAGTTTTCTCCTGTTTACTGCAGAAGCACCAGGTAAGTTATAGTGTAAACTATACTGCTCACTGCATAGATGTATTACTCACTGGGGATCTAAATATTTTTGGTATCCCTATCGATTCCCTTAACAGAAGCAGTAAGTGTGCAAGCGATCATTTAGAGGAATTTTTCGTGCAGAACCAAAGATGAAGGTCGTTGCACAGTAACTCGGTATTAGAGAAGCATTTGCTTGTAATAAGCTGATTGGCAGACTGACAGAAGTAGCAGAATTAGGGTCATCATTAGGGGGAGGGGGGAGGCGCTGGAATTATGGATAACTCGGGGGGGGGGGGGAGGGGCATAGGTCTAATTGTTTCTAGATGTCTAAATGGAAATCAGGTAAACATTTCTCTTCTTTAAGCATGTTCATGGTATTTTTAACTGTGTTAGAGATGTTTGTTGTTTCTCAATAAGGACATCTATAAACTCATACAGTCTTCCCAGGCAATCTCGCTTATACACAATGTTGTTCTCTAACAGAGAAAGGTAATCATCTAGCCAGTGGGAAAATTATAACACACACACACACACACACACAACTGCTTCAGACCTAAACACATATCTTTTTCAAATACAAATTTCCTAGGATAGAATGAGTTCAGTAAACACCTTCCTCAGACTGTACAGTTAGGAAAAAAAATGAAAAATATCTAAAACTTACCGAAAATCTCGATGGTACAGTGACGTTCTCCACGGTACTGATAAGATTCTCTTTTCCTTTGCACCTTCGAGGACGTATAATGGATCCCGTTCCTCCATCTGCATCTAAATGTCCTTGTTCTATATCATCCACCATGCAGGCCATTGCCACAACTACGTTGAAACGCAGGGAGTACATGCAAACAAATCCCAGACATGATACCACAGACAGAATCAGACGACAGGACCAAAACAAAGGCGGTCTCGCTGCTGAGGAAATAAAGAAAATAGTTTTCTTTATGAATTTGCAAAGGCATTGATAGAGAGGTTCCTGGATTTTACCGGAAGAAATAAGGGGGCTACGTGGTCTCGAGGCATGGTATGCGCTTAGAGTGCTGGAGGTCTCGGGTTAGAGCCTCGGTGAAGGCTGGGTATTTTCACGTGGACTTTAGTAATTTTTCCTGGTCTCTGGGTAGTAAGATCTAAAGCCCGTGTGTATTGTTCCGCACGTAAAAAAAATCAATTGGCAGTTGGAAATCGAAAAGAGAAGCCTAAAAGTGCTGCCGGGGCAAAGAAGACTTGGAGTTAAAAATCTACATAAGTATTTCAGGACCCTCGCTGGTGCTACGGAGTTCATGCACTGCGCTGAGATTTTTCGGACTCAGGCTAGTGTCAGAAGTGGACCATAGCACTTATGGGTTACTACCCTTCTGTCATGATGTTGATTCCTCGTTTCAACCTAAACCAAACACACACACACACACACACACACACACACACACACACACAAAAGGTGCGGAAATCCTTACTAATTTGAGATGAGGATCGCAAGACAGATACAGAAACCACAACGCTGTGCTACAACACATTAACAGTGTGACGAAAATAGAAAGACTAACCAGGGATATTGCTATTTGTTACTAATGTATTGAACAAACTTAGTAACAAATATAACCAACAATGGGTTTTAGATCAACCAGGATTAGTGCTTCAGCAGTGCTTTAAAAAAAAAATTAAAATAATAAATCTATATATATAAAAATCAATGTTTGTGTGTTTGTTTGCCCCCTATAGACTCGGAAACTACTGAACCGATTTAGCTGAAATTTTCAGGATATGTTTGTTTGATACCGGATGTTAAACCATCATGGTTTGAAATTTAACCTGTCACTGTTAGAGATAGGTGACCACAATTTAAGGAAAAATATTCGAAACTAAAATTTAAATTGTTAGTGACATCTAATTATAGCCACGTAAGTAATTGCGCATGCGCCGTAGTCAGAACGCAAGTCTTCCGCTATTCGCCGGCGAGTTACGTGCAGCCAACGCCTTCTCTAATAACATAGAGTAGGTCGTGGTACAGCAAACAAGACTATCTCTATATTTGTGTAGGCAGTGATTGCCACAATAACCATATTAAACACGATTTCTATTTTCTGGTTTTTTTTTCAAACAACCTTCGATGGGAAGGGGGGATGGGGGGCATCGAGGACTATCTCGTCGTCGGCGCAGACATTGACTGCGACATTAACTTCATTAACCGTGTTAGACACGTGCGATTTCTATTGTTGTGCCGTTTCATTAATATATCTGGAGTATCTGTCTATGAGAAAACAATTGCCTGCGGTTTTGAGTTGTGTTATAATCAGACACAGTAGTAGTAGGGTCACACATCTCAATAGTTTAGTTCTCTTTTCGTTGCTCCTATGAAGTGGCTGTTTGGTCGAATGGTTTCAACACTGGGTTCTTGTGCGGGAGACCAGGGTTCAAATCCGCAGTAGTAAATTTTTTTTTTACCGCGGACTAAAATATTATCCTTATCTGCTCTGTCGTGGTGACAGCACTAGCCATGTTGCCCTTAATACTAAAAAAAAAAAAAAAAAAATACAAGTAAATGGGTAAACTATTTGATAATTAAGTTTGACCATTGCGCATACTTATGATTGCATTTTTAAACTTTCCGATTGCATGGTTACGCTGAAATTTCATAGCTTTCCATTTATTTTCATTTAGATTTAGTTATTTCATCTACGTTGGAATTTTAAGCTGTGCTGTTTACCATAGCGTTCATTTCCTAATTATGGTGTTGTTGTTTTTTTTTTCTGTTTTCATTTGCTTAAGTGTTTTGTTTTGTTTTTCCAACTACTTCAATGAGGGAAAGAGTTGTCAGTGAATTTTTTTTTTGGGAGATGGGGGAGGGGGGGGGGGAGGGGCAAACTGTTAACTGAGAGAGCTTTAAGTCACAGCAACTGCTTTACCCACTAAAAGTAGCAGCAGCAGTAATAGTTGTGGTTGGGCTGTTACACCGTAGTGCTCTCATGTGAAGACCACCGGTAAGGTTATGGCGTTCTTCTGTCGGGAAGCGAAATTATACATCCTAACCTGACCAGTCTGTGGCGACAGCACTAGCCATGCGGAACCAAATCTTCTGGCTCACGACTCTCTGTCTACTCCGATGGTAACACAGATAGCAGTGACATTATTTTAGCTACTGTGGTGGTGGTAGTGGTAGTAGTTGTACTGGTACTTGAAGGATGATGTGGTAAATATTACACTAGCTCCATTCACTACCTATTACAATTCCTGCTCCCCATTTTAGTCCGGATGGACAGGGATGTCAATGTCAGTTACAGCAACAACAAAAATATCGCCAGGTAATGATTTTCAAATCCTTCGAAGAGGGAGAGAGCAGTAGTTGGTGGAAGAGGGAAGGGGAGGGGGTAATGATTTAAATTTAAGAGAACTTAAAGAGCTTTACACGTGATTTTCAAGTTCTCATTACCTAATTTGTTTATATTTCACTAATGCTACTTCCGCTTTTCTTTTTTTTTTTTTTACGACTTACTTTGTTATTTACAAGTACAGTTGTAGCTTTACTTACGTCTCCTATAAAAATACAAACAGCTTTAGCATGTGATAACCAAATAACCATTTTTGTTACTGTGCTAATAACACCATTTAAACGACCAATAATATAAGACACAACTATAAGGTGTGTGTTCTAAAGTTGAAAAACCAGACTATCTCTATATCTGTGCAGAAAATGATTGCGACATTAACTATATCAGACACGAGCGATTTCCATTGTCTTTCTTTTCCAAAAACCTTTGATGAAGGAGAGAGTAGTAGGTGGATTTAGTTGTGGTGGTGATAAGGGGGGGGGGGGGGGAATCAAAGACTATCTCTTATCTGAGCAGACAATGATTGTATTAGACACATGCGATTTCTATTTTCTTTCATTTCCATTTAGCCAAACTATGCCACAGCAACGAGTGGCCGGGTACAGCTAGTAAATACATAAAAAACTGAAGATTTTAGTTATCCAATGGCGCAATTTTATTAGTTGTGAGAAAACCCGTGCGCACATCATCAAGATCCAGATGCAAGAGAATTGTCAACTTCTTGGTTCAAACCTGAGCTATTCTTATGTGCGATTTTAACAATTTCACACATTTAATTGAATAGATGATAAATGTCAAAATAGTGCAGAAGTTATGTTCTTTTGAGTAGCTTGGTTTGAAAAAAAAAACATGAAAGCACCATTTGAAATCAATAGGTTTTTTTTTTTTTTTTTTAAAACAGTCAATTTATTTTTATTTTTGACAGAAAACCACCAATGTAAATGTATGCACTTTTTCTTTATTTGATCAGGAAAGCACTACTGTTGATCGACGCGTTTTTTTTTTTTTTTTTGGGGTGGGGGGGGGGGGGGTGTGGGGGGGGGGGGGGGTGGGAAGACAGAAAAGCACTATTGGAAATATGCTCATTTAGTTTTTCATTTAAACAGGAAGGCATCGTTGTTAATGTAGGCGTCGTTATTTTTTTTTTTTTTTTAAAGAAAGCACCTATGGAACTATGTCGGTTATTTTAACAGGAAAACATGACTGAAGATCTATGCACTTTTTTTTTAATGTGGTGTGTGCGGTATGTGTGTGCGGTATGTGTGTGTGGTGTGTGTGATGTGGTGTGTGTGATATGTGTGTGTGGTGTGTGTGCGGTGTTGTGTGTGGGGTATGTGTAGTATATCTGCGTGTGGTGTATGTATGGTGTGCATGTGGTATGTGTGTGGTGTGCGTGGCGTGGTGTGTGTGTGTGTGTTGTGTGTGTGTTGTGTGTGTGTGTGGATGTGGTGTGTGTGGTGTGTGTGTGCGGTGTGTGTGGTGTGTGTGTGAGGTGTGTGTGGTGTGTATGATGTGTGGTGCGTGGGTGTGGTGTGTGTTTGTGGGTGCGCGTGTGGTGTGTGTGTCTTGTTATTGCAGGCTAAGTGTCACATAAATGAAGTACATTTTTCACATAATGACATATTTATATATATCATAATGTGTAAAGAGAAAAATATATTTTATTTGACAGTCAGCATTTAATAATATTATATAATAATTATACATACATACATACACACACAGAGATGTATAAAAAGAAAACCTCTATACAGGTTAATATGTAAAAGTAAAAGATAGTTTTTCCCGCTTTAATGTATTTTGTGTGTATAGCGCTAGACCTATATGTTATAAAACAAACGGCACTTGGTGGATGATGTGATTAGCTTCAAGTCGGCCACCTTTACTTTCCAGGACTGTACTTGGTACCCAGTCAAGCCTGGATCGACTTGGGAGCCAGAGTCGTTTTTGAAAATAGTACGGTTCCTGTCTGACCCGAACGCACGACCTCCAAATCCGCATGCGAGCGTCTAGCCGCTTGCCACGGCGGCTCCTCTCTATACATGCTGATTCCTAACTATTTTTTGGGATAGTGGCCTCAGATCCCTGGATAAATGTTTGGGTGGCTTGGGGAGGTTGGGGGGGGGGGGGGGCATGCAAGTTTAAATACCTCAGCCCCCAGGTTCTGTTTCTATGAGATTTTACTTGACTGATAAGTTATATCACTAAGAGCAGTGTATTCTTCAGTACTGCAGGGTGGAACAGCATGGCTGGTTCTTTGGTGGTAATCATTATGTGAGGACGAATAAAGAATTTACACCGACAGAATACACAAATCTTTATTCTTACATCTATCATTGTGTATGTCTTTGTGTTTCTAAGATTACCTCTTCGATTATTACTTTACGATTATGTTAGTTTTATTTAATATTACATTCGATCATATTATGTGTGTTTAGGATCTGCAACACACTCTATTGTCTACTTTCTGGCTCATAATATCAATATACTAAACTGAGTCAGCAGTTACATCTAAACTAACATAACGACTGTGTATAATGTTTTTGTTTAGGAGAATTGAGAATTTAAAATTATATAAATATTAAAAACACAAGTGTATTACCTAACGTTCGACGTTCCATGGAATACACGCAGACAATACCTGTGCTTTGACGTGTTCAAAAGATGCGTCCAATATCACAGTTTGCACATTTCATTCTTCACTGTGCTCCGTACTTGCATAAATTCTGAGGCACTGGGTAGTTAGCGTCCTTTAAATATTCTCTCCAGGTTATGCACTTGTGTTGGGAAATGAGCAACCAGATAGACTGACTGGCTCTTCAGCACTTGGCGGTGCACTAATGTATAGCAAGCTGGATACTGTGAGGGTCCTTTGTGGACTAGTGAACAGTGCGGAGGCATAAATACAGCATTACGGTCTGAGGGGAATGGCGCTGCGAGGAGTTACCAGGGGATATTATAGACGTTCAACAGTCGAAAACGAGAAGGAAATACAATCAGACAGTTACAGGTGCCATTGGAATTGGAAGTCTTCGCGTGCTGCTTTAGATGGAGACAGAGCGCTTATGGGAGTGTCACGAGTGCTATGATGTCGATCTAAATTCAACATTTTAATTTAAACATTTACCATTTCCTATGTTCATTTTCTGATTGGTGCCGCTAGGTGTTGCTAGTTAACATACGATCGATTTCCGAGGGAGGACACGCTCGGTTGCCCAGTTTACGGGATATTTTGGAGTTTCAAGATATCACTGACTTCTTTAATCCATGTTTTTCATCGTCGTCTCCTACGTCTTGGTGTTTCTATTTTCATGTCGTGCACTCTCGTTGCTGGATTTATTGCATTCTTTTATTAAATGGGCAAACTATTTCAGTCTTGTTTTTTTTTTCCTTTGAGCACTCGCCTCCTTAAAAAATCTGGGTTTCTTTTTATTTGGCCGTCGATGAATTCTAATGATTTAACTGTAAAACCACATCTCTAAGGCCCCAAGATATTGTTCGACTTGTTTAATAATTGTCCAGGATTCACAGCCATATATTAAAACTGGCTCTATATAGCAAGCGTGAATTCCTTTCCTAACCTCCAGTGACATGGATTTATTGCCATAAAAGGTTGTTCATTTTATAAAATGCAGTTTTGGTCTGTCCTATTGCATTATTTATTTATGTGTTACATCTCTAATCGGATGTTATCCATGTGCCAGCTAGCTGCTTAAAGTTATGTACTTGTCCTAAAACGCGATTGACTTTTATTAAACATTTAGGCACTAAACTTTTCTTGGAAATCACCATTACTTCTGTCTTTCCATTATTCAGATTGAGACCCATTTTATCACTATCTACCACACGGTATCTATCAATTGCTTTAGTTCTTTCATATTACATCTGATAAAGTTCTCGTGTAGTTGATGTATGTGATCCTGTAGCTGATTAACTTGATTACGGAATGGGCATTGGTCCAATAGGTAAGTCGTAAAAATTTGCCTGGTAACCCTAGGCTAGTGACATTTTGTTGATATTGTTGATGAACATAATAAAAGGCAAAGGTGATAAAGCACAGCTCCCCCCCCCCCCCCCTCCTTTTTAAAAAAAAAACTCCTAATTTTACTGGAATCCAGTTTGTAAGTGTCACGAGACGATCTCAGTGATTCCAGAAGTTAGTACTTGTAATAAGTTCTTCTGGTTCTAAAGAGAGAGGATTATATTTACTCTGCCCTTTACCCTAATATTACTTTAAACCAAATTGATTTAAGTGTTACCAGTCCTTCTCCCAGACAAAGCCACTGCGCTTTGTTTAAAATTACCTAACACTACGTAATACAGCCCGCTGGTTCAGACTAGGGATGTGAGGTCGGATTCTCACGCCAGTGTCAGAATGTTATCTCCTGACCAGACTGTAGAGACTGAGCGGGGCCCTTTTGAACAGGGAAATTGAGTAGACGCTAGACATTGTGGAGCCGGGAGGTCGGAGTTTAACACGTCAGTGTAATTCTGGAGAGAACAGGTGTTTGGCAATTAGGAATGGTTTATCTTGGTCAAGGTCGTACTGTAGGCCGTTCACTGTGAGTGACAGGTCACTGGTTAGCCAAGTGATCTGATAGTTACCTCAGGGGCGGTGCTTAAGCCATCATCTTGAGGGTTGGGTAAAAACTAAGGAAAGGGAGGAGTTTAATTTGGACAATAGATTGATACTTATACTTCGAGCCTGTGGAATTTCCTTCATTAATCGCAGCCTGCCGGCAAACAAACGCAGGTCGACGTGAAGGTATATTTTACTGTCGTACTCTGGTTTGGCGATAGATGGAAAAGTTCCCAGGTGAGAGAAAATATTAATTTTAATCTTGTATACTTAGGTTAGGGAGTTAAGCTTAGTCTATACTACCTTTTCCTAATTTGTCTGCACATTCTGCTTGAAATAGTTCTGTGTGAATATTCAGTATCTCAAGTTAGGGAACTGCTGAACTATTCCTATTTCTTGTATGTTTGTGTCACATGTTTTTCATTGTATGTTTTCATGTGTATAAAATAAGATGTGAACAATGACATTTGCTATAATGAAATGTAATTATATTGTTTCCATGATCAGCCAAAACATGAGTTTGGACTGTGGGAAATGATGCCCAAATATGTGCAGGGATGCTGCTACGTTTTGTGTGCCCACCATGTGCTCACTTAATGTGTTCACCTGAACAGGGGATTTATAACCCCAGGGGAAGAATGATGGGTGTACAGTATTCACGGTCACTGAAAGCTAATATTCAGGACAGCGTGCACATATAAATTGTTTGCGGGTTCAGCACATAACCTGCGCCACATGTTTATGTCAAATCTATGACAGCCAACTCGAAGTCTGAGTGAAGACGGACAACAGACTTAGAAAGTCAACTATCATGACATAGCATTTGAGGGAAGGCAGGATATGTGACGCCCATGTAAGACAAAAGACCTTCAGACTAGACTGGAGAGGATGTGGAATATGAGGAGGAGTGATGGGCTATATCTTATTATTATATGTTGTATTAATTGATACATGTATTCTTAGTGTAAGTCAAGATACTACACGTATGTGTTTTGTTTCCATGATTTCAGCGCCCATGTGACGATCAGTCCATGAAGTAGCCTACATTGTGTTAGACTCGGCCAGCTGGGAACGAGGTGGAGAACGAGGTGGAGAACGAGGTGGAGAACGAGGTGGAGAACGAGGTGGGGGCGAGGAGGAGAAACAAGCAGGGAAGAAGCTGGAAGAGGAGGAAGAGCTTGACAGTGCTCACGGCTGTCAGAGGTTCTATGAAAGTTATGTTCATAAATTGTTCATACTTTATCACCTTCATCACACCACTCTAATCCCAGGTGCTGTTCTCGCGCTGAAACAACTCATTACGATCATAACTGTAGCTAGTCACTGTTTGTGTAAACACAACAAACTGGGTATGTCAATTAACTGATTGTTAGAAAATAAAGCTGTATGTCAAGTTTTATACTACATCGTTTGTTAAATTCCAAATGTATTTAATCTTACCTGTTTTCTAAACTGATAGATAGAAGTACATTTGGTGGGGGCTCAAAAAATATAATAATTCTTTAATTATTAATAATAACACCGGGAGAAGGTAGATGACGGAGGAATCACTTGCCCTGTCTAATAATTCATTAACATTAAGTATGATAGACATCTAAAATTCCTTGCCTTCTCTTGTGGGTACCAAGTTCAGCTAATGTTAATATACTTAACGAGCCAATATGGCTGTTTTCTTGGATATCCAGGACTTTGTCTGAGAGCAACATAGCTCAGATTTTAGTTCGGTTTATCTAGTGGAGAGAATGTGTTGAAAGGAAGATCCCTACTCAACAACATAAACATTTAAACCACGCGTCACGTCACAGTAAGGCCAGGTCCTATTCCGAGGGCAATTTGATTTCTTCATAGATGGCTCTTGTGCTGTCTAAAAATGTTGCCTTTATTTCATAATTGTCCATAGCTTTCTGGAGTAATTCTCTACTCTCAAAAGCCTTATGTTATTCTATAAATGTAATACCGCAACATTCATTTACTGTCCGTCTTCTATTGTCTTTCTGTTGTTTTATTTTATGTTGTCTTTTCGCTGATTTGTCTTAGGGTTAGATTAGCATCAGTACA